AACAGTCGTCTCAGAGAAAATGGACTGCGCAAGGCAGTGTGACCATTTTCTTGGCTTCAGCCAAATCCTGGGACTCATGAAGAAACACCTGGAAGATGAGTGACCGAAGCAGGGCAATAGCCCATTATTGAGTGTAATTGAGCCGTGAATTACAAGCATATTTTGGCAGACAAATATCATCCTGCTGTGATGCAGACATTACTGACAAGCAGGCCAGCGTGCAGTACCAGAATTGTCTGTATCTCTGGCTTCAGAGAGACTCCTCTGCAGCTGAACCCTCCTGGAAACTATAAAACGCTCCCATTCATCACCAGGATGATGTACTGGGAAAAGTGAGTTCTGATATGCACCGCGTTTTGGTGATTGCACAGAATACCCAGGGTGGGTGAGCATCTTGTAGAATGCAGGAAGAGCCCTTATCACATTTCACAGAGAAGTCCCACCCCTGGTGGGAGCTGAATGAAGGAGTTAGACTCATCACCAGTTTTAGGGCATATTCAGATGGGTTTTTGCAGATATTCAGAAAATATTTTGGCTGTTTGTTTCCAGGTAACACAGAGGATAAGAAGCAAAGGTTTATGTTTAAGAGCAGGGGTTCAATGTGGACTAAGAACAGCGAGAGAACTTATCCTGATACCACTTAACATAAAAGGTCAGGTCCTTATATCCTTGGAACTATGATTTCTACTGTTTTGGTTCAGTTGCTGTTCATTCTCCATCTCTGTTGTGATGCGTTCACTTGACTGCTTAGGCTGCTCCAAGTTAAAATATGTCTTCTCATAATTGTGCACTTGTGTATTTGTCTGCTCTACCTCAGAGGCAAAGTTTGGAATCAATTATACCAAGCTTCTCTTGATAGTATTGTTTAGTCCTAATGAAGCCGTAAACCTCATTTGATGTATGGGCTCGTGTGCTGGAGCTGCATTTTCTTCACAATTAATACATTTCAATAAGTTTTTGTAGTAAGCAGCACCATATTACTTCTCACAGCATATGCTGATGGGTTTTTCAAGGCATTCATAGAGTTGAGGGGAAAGTAACAAAGCCACCTGAGACTGCAATTCAGTTTGATTATCCTTCTATTCACAGAAGGCAGACTGATGGCGTTTCACTGTAGCTAGCTGGCTGTCGTGTATTTCCTGTCTTCCCTTCCTTGCTGACCTGCTGTTCTTTTTTTAATTCCTTCAGCCTCCACAGTGATTTCCATCTTCAAAATCTTTCCTAATAAGGGCTCTTTTAGATGACTGTTGGATTTTTTCAGAGATGACAGAAATAAATAGAAATGGTTTGGCAGGAAGATCTAGCCCTCAGATATCATCACTGCTTTCACATTCCTCTGCAGAAATAAGCAGACCCAATAGATACAGGTAGCATCCTCTTCTCTGTGCTGTAAGAGGACAGCCTTCAAAATGTTGAGAAGATTCCTCTGACTCCCACTCTGCTTGAGCCACCCGCAGACTGGTAATGGCGCAGACTCATAGAGAAAAGAAAGGCTAAGTGATCAATTTACTTAATTGAAAAGCCCAAACCATGCATCATGTTTTGTTTCTGTATGATATAGTGCCATTTTTAGCTACATTTGCCAAGAAAATGAGAATGAGGTGGCTGCTTTCTTGTCTGTCTCTGCACGTTGATCTGCTTGTCTTCCAGTTGGTGTCCTGTTCTCCTGAGCTCTTCAACTTACTGACAGATATTAGCTGAGGTAGGCAGAGGAACAGTGTTCTCAAAAGTATTTTGCTTCTGTATGCTACAGTTGACAGAGGAGTGAGACCCTATTAGTGTTACTAGTGAGGGAAAGGCAGGAGAATGTGGTTATGGTCAGTTCTGCTGGCCCACTGAGCAGCATAAGAGCGCTGGCAGCCCAGGGAGCACATGCATGATTCTGCATCACTGTAAGAATATGCTGCCCCTTGACCATCAGCTGGGCCAAACAAAAGCCATTAGGGAACATGGGACATAGAAAGAGCTGGGCATTTTACAGCGGAAAGAACTGATTTGGGGTGTAAGGCTAGAAGGGGTATCATGGTATGGGGAAGTGCTGGGAAATCATGTCATTATGTTGAAAAGAAGTTGCAGGAACCAGCACTGTTCCAACAGTGGTATTTACAGGATGTAGGACACAAATCTTTAGGAAATCAAGCAGTAAGAACACAAAGGCTCAGTGGACAAGCTGTAATACCTTTTCTGTCTTTGAAATCTCATTAAGAAAATGTTGTCTGTAAAAAAATAATGATAATGCATGCTCCTATCCCTGCTGCCTTTCTAGAATCGAATGCATTTTGCAGTAATTGCACTTTGCTACCCATCCTAGGAGGCTGTCTAAGTATAATTGCTGTGCCAGAGCCCAGACCAGACTATGGGGATCCTAACAGTCGTGCCATGCTCTTCCTCGTGCTGGATCCTGAAGTTAGTTCTTTTATTCAGGGTTGATAAAGATATAATCTGCAACCATCCTGAAACACCACAATCCCAATTCGCATAATGCAGAGGTACAGCTGGTCATGAGGTGTTGCCTGTACACTGGTTTTGGATCCTTTGTTAGTGTTCCAATGCCTTCTAGTGTCACTACAGGTTGCCTGTATTCAATTTTGAATGCATTGCTAATGGCTCTTCTTTAACCCTCCCCCTCCTATAAGAGAGTAATAACTCCACCAAATACATTTCATAGCACAATGTGTGGCAGTGGTGAGGTCTCTGTTTATATCTAGAATGTTGTATCTTAACCTGGGAGCGGAGTGCTTCAAGGTTATACCCCAACCCAAATAGCAAAAAACCAAAAGCACCCTACGTTTTATGATTGAGTTCAGCCGTCAGAGTACAGCAGTATGTCTGTACTACATTGAAAAAAAGAGTGAGTTTAGCAACTGCTTCACTGAAACAATGCAGCTAAGAAGCTCTCAGAACAAAGTACAAGAAACCTAAAGCAGAGATTTTGCAGCTTGCTCCCCACTGCCGTTGTTTCGCATTGTTTTGATTTCACAATGCACAATGCACACATAACACATTATGACTCCTGTAACATCTATGTGAATAAGCGGGGATCATCTAGCCTGGGGCAAGGTGCTAACCAGGAGTATAAATTATTTGTAATGCTGGTTTTTATCTATGTATCAAACTTCTACTATCTCTTTATGAGAAAAAAAACGTTAATGTTTGCCAGACTGGTCGGATTAAAGCCATTTGAATATTTTAGTCTGCAGAGAGACTTGACAGAGAAACTGAGAGGCTGGTCACATTATTTCCAGAATTATTATTTTTTAAAGCAGAATTGTTGTAGTAAAATCATTGGTAGGCACAATGCACTGAAGAATTACTGTAATCCGTGATAGGGAAAATCTAGCAAGATCGAAGCTCTTAGAATTAAAACTTTCACAACTGTCAGCTCTGTGACCTCATGCTCCAAGGATATTACTTGCATGTTGTGAGAACCAATCACTTGTTTAGCAGGAGTATTGAATAGACAAAGCACTGAGAATTATTTCCAATGAAACACCCAGTCTTGTCTTTTACTTGGTTGGAGCTTCTTTGTATCAGCACCGGTATCCACATGGCACTGCACTGTATGTGATGGACATAATGCAGATTACACACAGGGAACTATATTGCACAATAATAATAAAAAGATTTGTTACAGTCACTCTTTATCATTTAAGCACATTAAAACTGCCAGTTCTTCACATCCAAAAGGTTGACCATTAACTGAATTGTTGCTTCTTCTAGGAAGAAACAAGCAATAATAATCAAGGGTTTCTTTAGTAGGATCCTGTGTGTTTGTGGGAGAGGTAGATGGGTTCCTGCTTCCTGGGGCATGGCCTGACTTGGGCGGCAGGGGACGCTTTCCACTCTCACCATTTCACGCCTATTTCCGGACAATGCACTGCTCAGACAATCTCTTCGATTCCTCTCATGATCCTCCTGCTAGAAATGAATCTCTGGTTTTGCTGGCTGCCCAGGTCTGTGACCTCCACAAGTAGAGACCCTCCTGATTACTCCTGGTGCACAGTGCAAGGGTTTATCAGCAGGCATAAATTTCTGTGGCTATGGGTGGGCATGTGCCCTCCTGTTTGTTCTGTGAGACAGCAAAAGCCTATTTGTCAGCCTGGGAACTGGATGTCTTTGACCCTCTATCCTTCCCAGTGCTCTTAGCTTTCAAATGACAAGTCTGTCAGCAAAATTACTATGAAGACACTGTATTGTTTATATCTGTTCCAAAAGACCTTTGTCCATAACCTATAATGCCCCTGCCTTCAACAGTACTTCTGTCACCCCTTTGAAGCTTGGGAAGGGAAAGGGGGCAAAAGGACTACAGTCCTACAATTTCCCCTTCCCTAAATATCCCTCACATGCTCTTG